TAAATGCAGGGCTTCTCAGTACATTTGCAATGTGAGGTATGTAGTCTTGACAGTGCCATTTGCTTACAAAAGGAAGTTTATCTTACAATTAAGATTAAACTAGGTAAAGAGGTTAAATGCCATACACCCAGAAGAATTTTAATGCTGAAAAGTCCAAGGCTATTATTATTAAGATAAATCTTACAATTAAATATTTTATACTCTCCTCCTAACCCACAAGTGTCATGGTTGAAAGGATCTGAAGATATTAGAGAAATCAATCAGACTTTGGTTACCTAAGCTAAAATCATTAAGGTAGTGGATGTGGAACTGTGAAGTTCTGCTGTCTAACCAAATTGAAGAGACTCTTCACCTGGCACCACCTTTCTCACATCTCTTCCCCTCTTGCTAATTACACTTTAGTGTTGTCAAAGGATCCCTAGCACATGGAAGTGGCCAAGCTAACACTACATCTAAGGCACTAGGACCTCACAATGTTCTCAGGAGAGTGTAGGCACTTGTGCCAGTTTTAAAGATGCCCCTAGAGAGGAAAGTCCAGCAAGAACCTGCTTCCCCCCGACAGAGTAGGCTCGCTGCCAGAGACAATATTCACCACCATGAAGCTCTACTGTTTGCCATGAGAAGCAACAGTGGTCAGAGAGCCCAGGAAAAGTAAGCCCTCCTCTGCAGCTCTGCAAATTGCAACTATTCCACAGGGTCAATGGCTCTCTCCATGAAGACAGACATGAACCTAGACAACAGAGACTGAAGATCAGTTGTACTGTGAGCCATATAACAAAAAGAGTCCACACAAAGGCAGACACATGAAGCAATACCACGGGACGAAGGCTGAGATATGTATCTCCAAAACTAAAATAGCTTAATTCTCAGCACAGGTCTGAAAAATAATCACTGGATAAAACGGCAAGCCTTTTCATGAAATGATGCTGGATGATTATATTCAAAAGAATAAGACTAGATTCCTATTGTTCACTCATTGTACATGAATCAATTCACAATAGATTAAAAAAAACCTTTCCATGTAAAACTTGAAAACTCTAAACGTATTAGAGGAAATCATAGGAAAAACACTTCAAAATATTAACAGCAGTATTTCTATGATAGGACTTTAATAGCTTAGGAAATAAGAGGAAGAAGTGCCAAGAGGGATTCCATCAATTATGAAAGCTTCTTCATAGCAAAGGAAAACAATCAGGACAGTCAAGAGACAGCTTGCAAACTGGGAGACACAGGGATGGGGAGACTCATTTCTTTACCTGATACAGAATATTCACACACACACACACACACACACACACACACACACACACACACACACACTCACCATGACCCTCAATTACTCAATCAATAAATAGGAAACAAACACAAGTTCTTAAAAGAAGCACAAATATCAGCAAATATATGAAAACTTATTTAAGATGCTAAGCTATTAAAGAAATGTAAATAAACATTATACTGAGATTTCATTTCACCCCAGCTACAATGATCATCCATAAAAGGACATCAACAAACATTAGAGAAGATTGGGAAGGGAGTTAAATTAGCTCAGTATTATAGAAATCAGGGTGAAGGCACTGTTATGTGATCCAGCTGCTCTATTTTTGGGTGCACATCTGAAGAAAGCTAATTCTTCTCCCCACATATGTCTGTAGAGCCACATTTACTGTGGAATTATTTTTGTACAACTTAAGTTGCTAGCATGAGATCTCTCCAACTGTTTTTTATGCAGCATTAGTGCTATGAACTTCACTTTCAGCACCACTTTTCTTTCACTGTGTACCATAAGTCTAGGGATGTTGTGTATTCATTTTCATTGAATTCTAGAAAATCTTTAATTTCTTTATTTCTGTCTTGACCCATTTTTCACTCAGCAGAAAGTCGCTCAGTCCCCATGAGTTTGTAAGCTTTATATTGTTTCTGTTATAGATATCAAGTGTTAGTCTGTGGTAGTCTGATAAAATACAGGGGGTTATTTCAATTATCTGTTGAGACTTGCTTTGTGTCTGAGTATGTGGTCAGTTTTGGAGAAAGTTTTATGAGGTGCTGAGAAGAAGGTATATTCTTTTGTGTTTGGGTGAAATTCTCTATAAATATCTGTTGAGTCCATTTGTATCATTGTCCATAAAATTCAAGTCCAAGTGGATCAATGGCCTCACATAAAACGAGATACACTGAACCTGATAGAATAAAAAGTGAGAAATAGCCTTGAATGAACTGGCACAGGACCCATGTTGGGGTACATTGTGTGAAGGTGTGTCTTTGTATTGCCAATTGTTGATTGCTGTACTGGCAGAAAGCGGAACTTCCAGGTAGAGAGAGGGTCTCTGGGAGAAGAAGGCAGGTGTAGAAGATCTGCCAGTAGGATATGGTGGGGTAGTGGACCATCATGAATAGGTACAGAGAGGTAAACTCTGGCCACATGGAGGGTTGTAGGCTAGTCAGTTAGGTTAAGTTTAGATAGCTAGCTGGGACATTGCCAAAAGACTTGGTGTCATTATTTATATAGCTGTGGCCCATGAAAATCCTATTATAGAGACAACTTTCAGAAACAGAACACCGATAGCACAGGCACTAAGATCAGCAATTAATAAATGGAACTTCCTGAAACTGGAAAGCCACTGTAAGGCAGAGGACACCATCCATCAAAGTGGCAACCTACAAAATGAAAGCAAAAATATTTACCAACTCCACATCTGACAGAAGTCTAATACCCGAAATATATAAAAAACTCAAGAGACTAGATATCCAAAATCCAAATAATCCAATTAAAATATGAGCTCCCAGGGTCTAAACCACCAGCCTGGGAGCACGTAGGGAGGGACCCATGGCCCTAGCTGTATATGTAGGGGAGGATGACATTGTCAGGCATAGGTAAGTGAGGAAGTCCTTGGTCCAGTGAAGGCTGGACGCTCCAGTGTGGGGAAAATCGTGGGTGGGG